TTAATAAATGTTTTGTTTTGATATATAAGTTGCTCGGGTTTCTTCATCTAAAAAAGCGACATTAATTTTTTGACAACCTAACATATTATATAAAGAATGGTATGTACGTTTATGACATTTAATAGCAGAAAAAGCCCCCCAGTGGTACAGCGGTATGTCTGCGGACTTACAACGTTAGAATCCGGGTTTGGATACCCATGGTGGGCAGAGCACAGATAGCCCATTGTGTAGCTTTGTGTTTAATTACAAACAAACAATAGCAGAAAAGAAATTAAAAGGTTTAAATTACTCAGGTGGTATTGTTACTAACATTGATCTGATACTGTACGAAAACGTTTATTGTGACTGATTGTAACTCAGTGATAAGAGAGAACCAGAAACTCTTGGCCACTTTGAGTAGGAATCAAAGGGCTTTAACTGATGATGGGGTGAATTAGTGTTCTTGGTGAGAGCAGTTTGATGAAAATATTATGAATTGCTATTTTTTCCTGTTTAGAAATGCTGAATAAAACAAAGTGGTTCCCATAAACTTTCTTCTACGTTTGTGAAATTTGCTTTCAGTTAACTACCGTGTTTTCTCACTACATAAAGAACTACGCTACCTTCTGACTGTTCTAACAACTTTTGGTCAATGGAAGACGGTCTTTTTTACCCCAGAATTCTAGGCTTATAGGTATATGCAGGAAAAAGTTATCTAATCCAAAGCGTAAGAATAGAAGACATAAAGGAATATTTATGGAAAAGACCTGTCCATTTCACTTTTCACATTATCTTAATTCTTTGGTTTTAAGATTTTAAATCGTATTTCAAGGCCAGTGCCCAGGAGAGTACTGTCAAAGCAACTAAATAATTAACGAGTGTCTTCGATAAGATGAAGAACTGTGGTTTGGGGTTTGGAGCATCTCTCTTCCTGATGCAGTTCGTTTTTCTATATTCCATACACATTTACCATTATAGTAGATCTTTGTTGGATCCGGGCACGCGATAGTTCCCACGAAGAGAGAAGAAGTATTGCAAACTAGGACCTAAAATATCAAAGGGGTTGAGGTATTCACAATAAATAAATACTAAACACAGGACAAGAAAATATGTTCAAGCATCCATTCGTCAACATATATATTTACAAACCTTGAGAATGAGAATGAGTTTTGGCCTTTTCAAACTGCCAAATAATTGAAACATTACTTCTTATAGCAGTTATCTACTTAAACAGGAAAGGGTGTTTCTATTATATAATTATTAGAAACCGTTGATGTACACATTAGATATTAAATGAAATGCCATTACAAATAGACGCAAATAGCAATACAAAAAAAAAGAAAGAAATCTGAAGTATTTTTTCTCCCTATTCTAGAGCTGAAAAAACTAGAAAAATGATTCGTTCACACTTCAGAGGAGGAACGGTAAGCATATCTCATTTATTTCAACAGTTTAGGGAAGATTATTTACAAGTTATATAATATACTTTGTTCCTTTTTCTTTTTTTTCTGCCGTGAAGTTTTCACAAAATCCAAGTCAAGGAATACAAATTGTTTTGTAGATGACAGGAGTAGTTATTCATGGAAGTTGGGAATTTGTTTTGTACAAAAAATAACAAGTGGGTTTGTTTGTCAGGGACTGAAAAATGTATAATTGTGTTATTTGTGTAATGCAGTCTATCTACAGGTGCTTTAAATACCTATATCTATATTTATTGTTTGCTATTTCGACACGTGGCTCGGCATGACCAGGTGGTTAGGGCGCTCCACTCGTAATCTGTGGGTCGCGGGTTCGAATCGCCGTCACACCAAACATGCTCGCCCTTTCAGCCGTGGGGGCGTTATAATGCGACGGTCAATTCCACCATTCGTTGGTAAAAGAGTAGCCCAAGAGTTGGCGGTGGGTGGTGATGACTAGCTGCCTTCCCTCTAGTCTTACACAGCTATATTAGGGACGGCTAACGCAGATAGCCCTCGTGTAGCTTTGCGCGAAATTCATAACAAACAAACAAACTAGGCGACACGAAGAAGAAAAAGAAGCATTTATTCAACCCGCATACCTAAATTTTCAGTTTTTACATTTTGAGCTACAACGTACTAGTACCTAGTAGTAGTACCTCAACATTCAGGACGTGATAATGAGATTCAATGTTTAAATTTACGGATTTACAACGCTAAATTCGGGGTTCGATTTTTTGTGGTGAACAGAGCGTAGATAACCTATCGCTTTGCGCTAAAACAAACATAAACATTCTTCGTATTAAAAAATAGTAGATGATAGAAGAGAATAATTTTACTTACAATATACACTGTTTGTACTTTATTTCTACAAATATCACCGGTTTCTTCTTCTTTGTAAAAGAATTATTTAACATACGTAAATCACTGCTTATATTTGATTTCTAGTAGTAGAAAGATAACAAACAGAATGACCAGTTGTCCCGGAATATCGTTTATAGCATTTTTAAAACATTTGTACATTGTTGTCAGAGTAAATAATCAGGAATAGAAAAAATATTTTGTAAATTTTCAAAGAACAACAACAACTTTTAGCTTAATACACAGCTGTAAGTGAATTAAATTTTAAATTTACGTGGAAACACAAACTTTCCTAATTTTTTAGCTATGTTTCTTGAAATACAAAACTGTTGAATGTTGTATTTTCAACATTTTTATCTCTCTTTATTTCAGGAATGGGCAGATGAAGGTCTAGTTTTATCAACTCCTAGTGATCAAGCATGTAAACTATTTGATTCAGCTTTATCTCAGGTACAAATACAGCCAAACACTTAATGCAACAAGTTTTCTTTATGTATTTAGAGAAGTCAAAAGTAATTCGTACTTTACCTTTATTAAATATCAAACGTGCGTTGTTGGGTGAAAATAACTTTCAGAATCTCAATTAATTAGTTTTCGTTTTATTTCATAAGATATCCAGTTTCTATTAAAATCATACTATTTCACGTTTAAGTTTTATTTATAATCATAATGAAGGTATAATATTTTATTTTCATTATATTTTAAACTGGCAACTTTAGTGTTTGCATAAATTTACAGGGACAAGAATTCCTCAGTACCAGACAATAATCGTCTGCACCTAATTAACTTCAGACTTCAGTAAAATAAGGCACACACATGGCAGGATTGAAATCAAAATTCTTCATATGAAACTAATAAAATTAGGAAGATATTTGAAATATTAATACATATTTTATTTGTTACGTTTCGTTTTCATAGCTTATTGGATGGTATGATGACAAAACATTTGGTGGTTTGAAGACAACACTAGAAAATATGAAAGTAGCAGATCCAGATTTTGGTAAGATAGGTGAAACCAATCTATTGTTATGTATCTGGTCGTTTGTTAATTTCCAGTATAAATTCTTTCCGAGGACCTTCAGCGATACAAGTTCTTTCTTGATGAAAACTAATTTATTCTTTCTCGTTACAAACTTTGTAATACACTTAATTTCCACAGTCATTTAAGCTTAACAACCTTTATAACACACGCTTTAAATTACAGTGATTCACACACACTTTACTTACGGTGCCTACTGTTCGCTTGACTCAATTATCTCTATCTTCAATCTATCTATATCTCTTCTATTTTAAATTCGATGACGAGGAACCCACTTTGAGACTAATAATGGTTGGAGACTCTTCTATTTATCGTGCTGGTTTTACTCGCCAGGCTTATATATTAAAAAAGAGGGCGTCTCGAATGCACTCGGGCCTTCATGGTCCTCCTTGAAACTCATCATGTGTTACCAACGTAACGTGAATTCCGCCGTCGTAACACAATTTTTTCTTCTTATCATAAGATATAACTATGATGGTCGTAAAATATAATTAATGATTGAAACACTATACAGTTTCAAAACTCAAGCGACTTAAAAACATCCAACAAAATTACATTTATATTTTTTAAAATAATCTTCTGACAATTTGGAACTATAAATAAATTTCTAAACAAAAGCTTTTATGAACAGGTGAAAATAATTCACACTGCTCTAGAATCGCCGTAATTATAAAGAGTACAGTCTAATTTACTCTCAAATCTTCACACTTTCATAATATTTTCCATTTCCATTTAAACTTGAAATAATCATATTCATATGAATTTCTTTATAATAATTTAATGTTTGTTGTTAAGTGAAAAAGCTACACAATGGGATATCCTTGCTGTGCTACCATGGTTTTTAGTGCAAGCACACAGACTTACCGTTGAGCCACGGTGGAGCAATAATTTAATAAAAATATGGCAGTAATATAACTTATAATGTAAACTTTAAATGTTATCCTTAAGTTTGATTGTTTTATTCATTTTGTTATTTCTTGTCAGTCTATTTAAATATACCTATATCAGCGTTTTATTTCTAGTGATGGGCCATGTGATGTCTATAGGCTTAGATCTTATTGGCAGTGGAAGGACACCACGACTAGACAACAGTTTTAAAATGGAAATTGAAACCATGGAATCTTTAGCCAAAAAGCAAGCTGATGGTTTAACTCAGAGAGAACAAAGTCATGTTAAGGCTATCCAGTTGTGGGCAGACGGGTGAGCTTGTATTAGACTGAGGAGTTTGTTTTTATATTTGTTTAAAAGTGTTCATGCAAAGCTACACAAAAAGCCATCTGATCGTAGTCGTCTCTGATTTTGAACTGATAGAAAAAGAGTAAAGACAACTAATCAACACCACCCGTCTTTAAGTATGGATTTAGTTCTAAACATTAATATAAGCAACAGCAACAAAAACGAATGTTTATGAAGAATGATCTTACTGAGGAATGGTGTCTTTCAGTCGTGGATAGGGTGAATTTCAGTTGTATATTGTCTAGTCTATCAAATTATTAATATAAAGTATTAAAATACAGTACAATGTTTACTTATGCATATTCACCTACTTGCTTTGCATGTATACTGAATAATGGCATAAAGTCTTCTAGAGATTAACTTCTGATTATGTGTGAATATGGTGTTTCCAGGTGCACTGATTATCTTATAAGTCAGAATAGCAACCAAAATAGCAGAGGGAATGACAGAAAATATTATGCAGAAGTAAATCTGATTTTCTGATTTGACTTATTGAAAGAAAAATACTTAACACAGCTTGTTGTACAAGATAATAACAGTTTATTTAATATGTAAAAGACAGAGAACAAACTTACAATTCCTTTAGAAGATATACTCATGAGAAAAAAGAGTTTGCACTTTCTTCTAGGTGTAAAAACAGATCTAAGGCAAAAGAAATTCTGAATCAGATTGAGAGAGATTATCTCTACATAGAGAAAATAATAGTGCCATTTCTCCCAGATTGCATGCTCTATTCATGTCATTTTTTGATAATTCCATAAGTAAAAGTAAGGATGTTATCCAGGTATTGACAAATCTTTACTGATTTGATCTTGCTAAAGCTTCCTGTATTACATAGGAGACCAGACTCAATGAATTACTGGATTAATAAGTTCAGTGTCAGTTACTAAGTTATACAGTGAGAGTTAGTGTATCTATTCCTCAGTGATCAAATTAGAAGTTAGTCAACTGGCTAATTGTTTATTAGCAATTTATTAGTGAAGAAATTTTGCAAGTAAGTTTATAAATATTTTAGGTCTATGCTAATTTTAGATCAGATCCAGTAATATTGGAACCTCAACTCCTCAAGAAAATAGTCTAGAAGAGCAAAGGATTAGTTAGATAACTAGCTACATAGAATGAAGGAAATACATTATAAAACAATGGGTGTTTTAAATGTAAGTTAAAACGATGACTGATTGCCAGGAACTGTACAAACAAGCCTGTATGGAATTAAAATTCTTTCCACTGAATGGGAGTAAAAAGGAACTATTATAAATATGAAAAACAGCCTTACAGCTGATATTGTGAGGAATCAACAACTGTTAATAAACCAAGGAGTCTTTGAACCCAACCAGATCAAAAGGAAAACAAAAATCTGACCAGACATTGTGAAAAAACAGGATTAGCTAGATATATGGGGCAAATTCAAGAAGTTTATTAAAGGAACCAGTACAGGAGTACACGGGTTTATTGATAGGAAGCATTGCAGTAAATTGATCAACATTGGTTCTAGAGCAAAAATTGATTGAGCCAATCAGGTAATGAAAAATAGGAAATTACCTCCAGAGGCAAAGAAAGAAGATGCTACCATTAGGACCATTTGCCCAGCAAATCACAAAATTCGAGTCAAATCTGAATGGGAAATTACAAAATATGAAGCTGTACAGGTAATATTTCCACATCAAAGAACATAAAAATCTGATGTCAAATTCTTATATATACTACAGCTTGCCACTTCACTTTCCAGAGCTGTATTAATGGAGTTTAGAGGTATTATGGCTTATCAATACCAGATATTACGTGATTACTCACAGAATATCAAGATACATTTTCCAGTGGGTTTCATGGCTTAGACCAAACAAATAGAATATCATATAACATTGAAACTGGAGGCTTTCAAAGAGATAAGAAGCCATGAGAGAACAAGGAATGGTAGAACTGGATACTTGTCCATGGTCATCTTCTATTGTGCTTGTAAAGAAGAATGATGGGTCCATAAGAATCTGTGTGGACAACCAAAAGGTGAATGAAGTTACAAAAAAGGATATCTACCCATTCCCAAAGAACGACTCTACTTTGGATGGTAGATGATATTTTTAGACTTTGTTCCTTAAAAGTGGGTATTGACAAGTGCAAGTTGATGAAACAAGAAGAGAGAAGACAGCCTTTACAGCAGGAAATGAATTGTGGTGATTTGTTGTGTTATCAGTTGGGTTATACAATGCACCTTTTACAGTTCTATGAATAATGGAGTGTGCTCACTCTAAAATATCCTGGAACATTTTACTCACCTAATCGGATGGCATAGTCACACATAGGTAAGCCTTTGATAATGCTTATGATGGGCTAATGAAAGTTCTGGATTGGTTGAGAAAAGAGCACCTTAAGTTGAATCTCAAGAAGTGTGAATTGTTTCATCAACAGGTGAATTTTCTGTGACACATGGTAGGGATGGGGTGTCTACAGAGTCATCTAAGATTGAATGTGTTCAACATTGTTGCAGCACCAAATAACTTGCATGAAGTAAGAGAATTTCTGGGACTATGTTCTTACTTTTGTCATTTTATAAAATCATTCTTTGAAATAGCTCATCCTCTACACAAACTACTTGAGACACTAAATTAGTTCTTTTGGGCTATTGATTGTGAACATGCATTCAACTAACTAAAGAAAGAATTAATCACTACTCCTGTATTATACCAAACTCTTGAAGATCCACACATATTATATACATATTCCAATGTTAATACAAGCACAACATGTAAAAGAACATGTCATTGCCTATAATAACAAGGCAATGGAAGTTGCAGAAAGGAGGCATTGTACAACTGTGAAAGAGCTACTAAGTGTTGTTAAAGCCCTGAATGATTTCCATCATTACCTAAATGGCCAGAAGAGTACACTCCATACAGATCAAATAGCACTGAAGAGGCAGTAAATGCCTGTAATCCAGAAGGCCAAATAACAATATGACTCCAGAAATTTCAGGAGTACAACTTTAACATCATGAATTGTCTGGGTTGGAATCATGGAAATTCTGACACATTATTCCAAGACTGTGTGTTAATGAAGAATGCAAAGATTAGGAAAAAGTGGGAAGCATGAGATAGTAATGATGTCTAACATAAGGTACAACAGAGTACAGTACAAGATAGAACATTCACAAGTGATGGTGAAAAACTAATGTGATCCAACACTCAAATGAATGATGCTCAAGCAAATAACATGAGTTAAAAACTAAATATTCAGTAGATCAAGAATAATAAAGGAAATTCCTTGGTGGTAAACAGTTCCTCCATACAGCCCAAAGACAATGACATTCTGAGCACAATGGAATTCACTTTGCCTACAAGAGAGTTTGTTGTGTTGGAAATGATAAAGTAACAGTAGATAGAAACAATGACCAAAGTTGGTCCTTCCACAGTCTCTACATTCAGAAGCACTCTATCATATCCACAACCTTCTAGCAGTTGGATACTTAGGTGTCCAAGACACTGGACAGAAAAAGAAAGTTTCTATTGGATTGGGTGCCAGGGATCTGTGGAGGACTGGTAAGTCATATGAACTATGTTGTGAGTGAAAGGTCTGTGAAAGAAACAGCATGGGAAACTACCACAGTATTGTATTGGAACACCACTCCAGAGAATTGCTGTTGGTATGTTTATTCATTTACAACAGAATAACAATGGAACAAATATGTCATGGTTGTGATGGATTATTTCACTGAACAGACAAAAGCATATATTGTTCGTAACAGGAAGCAGGAACTCTAACAAGGAGCTCATCGATAAATTTGCTTCATGAATTGAAGTGCTTATGGAACTCCAGTTAGATCAGGGATCAAACTTTGAATCAGACTTGTTTGTGGAAATGTTTCAGATCCATCTGATTAAAAGGACCTGGATAATAGCCTCTCATCCATCTTTCATAATCAGGATGGAGAGATACAACTGTACACTTTTGAATCAGTTAGCCATTTATGTGGATCAACATTCTGAAATGTGGATTCAAGATCGTCCACTACTACTTATGAGTTAATCAATGGCAGTATATGAACCTACAGGCAACACACTATCATCACTGATGTTTGGGAGAGAACATAAAGTGGTATTGGATCTTTTAGACTCACATTCAGAGAACAGTCACCCAGCAGTCTTGCCTAAAATATACAGATAAACTAAGGAAAACCACTGATGTCATACACGACTTTACAAAGAAAAAATTTAAATCAGTTAGTGATAAAATTAGGTTAATGATTATAAGACTGGATTTAATTGAAGTAACATTGTATAGCAGTACAATTTCTACTGCAACAAAGGGCAAATTCCAAAATTAAATAGATATTGGGAATGGCCATATGTTGTTTTGTAAAGAATTAATGATCTGGTTTACATTACCTATACGGGCAGAAGAGTACACTTCATACAGATCAAATAGCACTGAAAGAATTAATGATCTGGTTTACAGAATCCAGAAGGAAGGTGACCCAAACAAAAGGTTATCCACTGTGATTGCCTTTGGAAGTACATTGATGAGGGAATGACCAGTTGGGTCATTTAAGAAAAGAATTTGTCAACAGAATCTTGATATGATGTAGATCCCAAGGTTCCTGTTGAGACTACTTTCAGAGGATCACCAAGGATAGAGCTAGGGAGAACTCCCTCCAATGACAGGACAACAATTGACCATAAGATAGAATATATCATTCAATTTACTCATCATAACCCTCCGAAAAGAAAACCTCAAAAGAGACTTGGTGAATGGACAGTTTAGTATATTGTTGTGTTTGTGTGTTAGGATTGTTCAAGGGACTTCACAATCCAGGAAAGTAGCAGGTTTGTAAGCTATATTTAATATTTTTGATGTATATTTGCTAGAGGGAGATTATCATAATATCAATGCAAAATCTAGAAATTTTGTGAAAATTAAGGCCTTGGTAAAATCTGGAAGCTTTCCGTATTACATAAAAAACTAGATTGTATATGAATACCAGACTCAGTGAATTATTGAGTTGATATGCTTATTATCAGTGAGTGAGTTAGACAGCGAGATTAAGTGCACCTATTCCTAAATGATATTTTTCATTTGTTAATAAGCACTAACTACACAATGAGTATCGAAGCTCGATTTTTGGCGTTATAAGCCTTCAGAGTTAAACAATTGCCGTGTTCGTTGTCGATCAATTAGTGAGGAAATACTGCGAGTAAGTTTATAAGTAAGTCAGGTGTATATTAATTTAGGAATTTTTGTTGAAACATTGTTTATGAACATAGCATGTAATATTAAAGAAATAAATTAATTTGTTATTGTTACATATACTGAAGACTTCGCATTATTTTTGCCAAATAATTAAAAATAACCCACTCACGTATAGAACACATAACAACATTAAGAGTTTTTACTTCAAATTTGGTACAAGTCAGTCATGATTAGTGAAATAATATATTATAAGTCATTAAACTGTGTCTTTCTATAGCTATCTGATGTTATATATATAGGTATCTGAAAGAAGCCACTGGTGTGTTGGACAATATCTTAGTGAAACACCCAACTGATATGTTTGCTATAAGAATGGCTCATGATGGCTATTTTTACCAAGGCCACCTACCACAGATGCGAGATTCGATTGCTCGAGCTCTTCCTCAATGGAAACCAGCCACTCCTTTGTATAGGTTCGTTTATTTAATTGTTATTTAATTTGCTGCTATCATGCATTTTCCCCTTATACATTAAAAAAAATTTTAATAAATTCAGAATATTTTCCATTTCATTTGTTTCAAATCGAATAACCATAAGCTTGTGAATGAATTTAGTGTTGGCTATTTTCAAAAGTATTCTGTTGAATTCTCTAACTATTTTCTCTCCCTTTTTCTCTTTCTTTTTTTTTAAGTTACTTGTTTGGCTTATACGCATTTGGACTGGAGGAGACAAACTTTTACTCTACAGCAGAAGGATTTGCTCGAAAGGTTATCTGCTTATTCATTTTGTTCAAACTTCTTCATTCATTTCTATAAATTTAAAAACTTACAATAAAAATAATAAGTCAAGTGAACCATTTCAAAATTTCGCACGAGAAGATTCTTTTCAAAATAATATACACATTACTTGTGAAAAACCCTAAAATAAATAATATATGTGTTAAAGATTTCACTATATGGTGAAGTAACACAAACTCAAAACCCCATAGATATCATAAAATAACATTTTTTATTTCCATACATCTGACAAAAATTCAAAACTTTCATAATCTTCAAAATATTAAAGTTTTAGACAATAAGATACAGCAAGATAATATATATATATATATTGATTGCTTTTGGGGTGGGAAATAGTCTAAAGTCTTCACTCTAGTCTTTCAGTGAAAATTTAAGGATGGCTATTCGCAGGTAGCCTTTGTGACGTTGTAAACCTCTGCGAGAAAATTGTGTAAAAACACTTGCTTATGATTTCAATTTCAAAAGTAATACTAATAAGATCAACTTTTTTAAGTTATCTATACAGTTCCTATTTATGATAACGTTATTACCACAGTAAACGTTGCATTTTGTACTTTTAAAGTTTATGATTTATTGATTTATTTATTGTTTACGTTATTTTCAAGCACGTGTAATGATATATTCAATTTTAAAAGAAAGACATACAATTTTACTATAATGATATGTATTACCATTTTCAAAAACTTTAAATGTATTTGACCTCAGGGACTGTATCTAAACCCTAATGATGCTTGGGCAACCCATGCTCTTGCCCATGTGTTTGAAATGGAAAGTCGTACCAGTGAAGGAGAGGCCTTCATGAGTTCCACAGTAAACAACTGGGAGGTCGGTTATCTTTACTTAAACAACTGAAATTGCATTTTAATCATACTAACATTTCTAGAGTTGCTTATCCATACCAAAGTTACAGAAATTAACAACTTTGGTTGAGACTAAGAGAGTAATATTACTAATAATTTAAGCTAGTTAATAATATAACAGTATGATGTTCAGTACAGTGAACATCATAAGTGAATACTGTATTTTCTTGTGAAGACATTGATTAGAGTAAGCAATTTAATTTCTTGGTGTAAAAGTTACAACAAAATATATTCTATATATTGAGAAATGTTAAGAAGTACAACAGTTTTATTACTTAATTCACAAATTTATTGAAACTATATTTCAATTTTTAATGTTTTTGTATTGTTTTGTTATCAAACACTTGTGAGAGAAGTTTTCAAGTTTGAATACCTAGCATCAAAGTAATAATCTGTTTCTAAATTTCAATGCAACAACTGGATTAGATTCACAAAATACGTTCACTAATACAATGTAGTAGTACTGTTTGTATCCATGTTCTTACATAGAATTTCAGATTTTAAAAAGAATATTTCCTTAATTGAAGCAATGGTGTCTTTAAAACTACTCATTACTCAGTGCTAATTGCTACTTCATTACTATTACTGCTACATTTTATTATGATTTTTTTTTTTTCAGTTGGGTAACATGTTGGCTTCTCATAACTACTGGCATTGGGCATTGTATCTTATTGAACAGGTCAGTAACTAAATAGTGGTTAGTATATCTTACAGATTAGTTTTGAAATTTCTGAAACATGTGGAGTAGTAGTAAAACTATAATTAAAACATATAACTAACTTAAATGATAGTTAATTATAGCCTTGCAGGAAATATGTGTTTAATTGCTAGATTACAATTTTCACAAAACAGTAGGGTCATTTGGGTTTGACACTAGACCTAAATAGTTAGTCACCTTGCCATTAGAGGATGACTGTCACTCAAGCGATGACTGGCTACCTGATGATTGATGTAAACAAAAGCACATATTCTACTTCCAAAAACTCTCAAGGAAAAGTCCATACATGGTCTAACTTCATGTTTGAAGGCCACAATATTGAGGCTGTTAATGATTGTGTCTGCATGATGTCAGAAAAACACACAAGTTCAAGAAATCATGATACAAGATGATTAAAAACTCTGTAACCCTGTTTCTGGTAGATTGCTTCATGCTATGATAAAGAAGAGGATTCAAAACAATGCTGTCAAAAGCACTTTTTAAATTGGTGTTATTGGTAGGAAGCTGATTTTTGTTATTATTTTTAAGAAGGAATGTATCAGTTCTCTCTGTAAATTTTTGTAGTTCTTTTTCATCCAGCAAAGGATTGTACAGGTGATTATAATGGGGAATTTCTTTCTGTAGAATATCGAAAGTGATATTTTAGTGATATTCATGACTTCTAAGGAAGTGTTTTCAAGGATCTGTTGCCATTTGTTGCAGAAATTCTGATCATGTGCTCCTATTGTGATTGGTGGTTTAATGTGAGAGATTGAGGTATATACTCAGATTAAACAGACTGTAGAAAAAACACCTAGGATCTAAAACAAACCATGTTACAAAGAGGACATAAGGATACCGAAATCGACAGACAGATTGAAAAAAGCTAACACTCAGTGGAAAAATGTCCTAAAACAGAGCAATACTAAAGTTTCAAATAGAATTCTTCTTATTATTACCTATCACTTTAAACTCAGAAACGTTTCACGAATTCTGAAAAAAAACATTTTCATCTCCTACAACTGAACAGTTGGCTTAAACAGATATTTCCTGAAGTTCTTGTTGTCTCCTTCCAAAAAAAAGCAGAACTCTAAAAGATATTCTTGTTCACACAAAAGTGAATTACATCCCACTAAAAAATGATTGTCATCCATGCAATAAAGTTCAATGTCAAACCTGCAAGTAAATAAAAAAAAACTATTGACTCGTTTTCTGAGAAGCACAACCAGAAAAACTTTAAAATATTCAAAGAAATCACTTGTGGAACACAAAACACCATTTACCTTATACATTGTAAAAAATGCAATCGCCAATATATAAGACATACACAAACAAGTTTTAGAGAATATTTCAACAACCATAAATCTTCTATCAACACCAAAAAAGATCTCCCTGTTGCTCAACACTTTAACCAACCCCGTCATTCCATTAACAATGTTACTCTCATTGGTATTGAAACAGGATTCAAAACTAAAGCTGATAGAGAAATAAAAGAAGCTTATTGGATTGCTACTCTTAAACACTCTTCAACCTTTTGGAATTAATCTAGATCCTGGAATCAGTGATCTTTGATCATTGGTTTCATCTCTGTCAGAAAAATAATTTTTATTCTTTGCTTATTTCTTTCATGTAGTGTGAACCCTAACTTTTCTAAAACTTGCTATTTATTTAAGATAATTTTTCATACCTGTTTGTATGAATTGATTAGCTGAACATCTCTTTTTCAGTCAGTCTCCAGGTATCAACTTTGTTTTACTTAAACACTTAAGTATAGTTATATATATATATATTTAGCCAATTCTAAAGTAAAATATCCCTAACACCTTTTTACATAATGCTCTCGTTTCTGAGTAAATTGTACTGGAAATGAGACACGTACAACAGTACATAGAAAAATATACTACACATTTCCTGGAAAACCAGATAACCTTCATGACTTTATATATAACTCATTCGAGTACACCACCATTCCCAGTTTGCCCCTGAAGAAAAACGGTTCACCTTTCGAAAGCACTCGGGTTATAGGATTTTTATCATCTTTTAGCAATGAGTATGTGTCTTCATACTTGGTGTGTAGTTATGATGGTTTGTATAACAAAGAAATATATATAATAAAAATATATGAGGATAGACATGAAACACAAAAATGACTTTATCTGTAATCCCAGTGTCAAATGGTTTGAATTATTTGATGAAATGACTGTCCCATTACTTAGTATGGTGTATGGTAGTTCTACTAGTATATCTGATAAGTGTATCATTAGTCAGCCCTATTAGTAAAGCTAGGTGTATTACAAAGTAGGTATAATACTGTTGCGTCAGTGAGATCACGTGACTATTATCACGCCACGTTCTAGAACTATCCTGTACCTTGGCGAATGCTCTAGCATTTACTAGATATAGGGTAGTCTGGGGTGACAACGTGAACAAGAATGTGTGTGTACACAGTGAGTAATTGATCTGCAGTCAGAGAGTATTATTGAAGTTGAGCACGTTCGTTGTTATAGCGTTTGTTTTAGCGCGATTGTTGAAATTAAGTGTATCGTAAAGTTATATTCGGAAAGAATAAACTAGTTTTATTAAGTAAGGACTTGTGTCGCTAAAGTTTCGTCGGAACGAAGTTACAGAAAGTTAATTAACAAACGGAGACGTAACAAATTGGTGTCAGAGAGTGGGACAGAAAATAAAAAAGGAAATGAGAAGCGGCAAATCAAACTACAGCCTAGCAGACTTAATGGCAGCAATACACGAACAGCAAAAGAAACAAGAAGAACGAGAAGAGAAATTACAACAGTTGTTGGAGGAAAAAGAAAAGAAACAAGAAGAACGAGAAATTGAACAAGTAGAGAGATTACAGCAGTTGTTGGAGGAAAAAGAAAAGAAACAAAAAGAGAGACAACAGCAGTTG